GACATCAGAGGGGAGCATCGATGGAAATAAGGGGCAATAATTTAGCAGATTAAGTAGCCAGAAGAGCAGCTACAGAATCATCATCAGTAGTTTTATTGGTAGTAACACCGGGGGATTATGAGAATTTAGCCCCGAATTTCACAGAACAAGAAAAGGATGTACTTAAAATAAGGGGGGTTGGGGGGGGTGGGGGGGGGGGGCGGGGGAAGATCCAGAAGGAAAATGGACTTTAGCAGATGGAAGGTAGATGTTAAATAAAACATGATCATGAGAAATTCTGTCATTAATACATCAGAAAATACATTGGGGAACGCAATCACTTTGTGATCATTTTCTTAGACAATATGGGTGTATAGGAATATACACGGTGGCTAAACAACTAGTTGATCAGTGTCTGAATTGTTAAAAAGTGAACAAAAGATAATGAGAAAAAGGTGGCTGGGGAACAGGAGCTAGCCATACAAAGCCTCCAGGTAGACTTAACAGAGCTACCTCAAATACAAGGGTGGAAGTATTTGTTGGTATTAGTGGCTCACTTAACTCATTGGGTGGAAGCAATCCCCCACACCAAGGGCAATGGCAAGCATGGTATCCAAGGTGTTATTGGAAAACATTATCCCAGATATGGATAGACTTGGGCAGAGGAACACATTTCATTTTAAAAATTATGCAACAACTATCTGAAGCCTTAGGGATTGAATGGGCGTGGCACACCCTATGGCATCCTCAGAGTTCTGGAAGAGGAGAAAAGAATGAATCAAACTTTAAAACAAACCGTGACTAAGTTAATGATTGAGACTCAGATGTCTTGGATTAAATGCCTGCCGTTGGCCTTATTAAGGATCAATACTGAGCCACAAACAGACCTGGGAATTTCTCCCTATGAAATGATGTTTGGATTACCATCTATGAGTAATAACAGGGATACTGTCACCCCTGAAGTAGGAGATCAGTATGTAAGAAAGTATGTAATAAGAATTGCTAACACTTTAATGAAACAAAAAAAAAAAAAAAAAAAGAAAAAAAAAGAAAGGGCTTCTGCCTCAAATACCACCATTGGATTTTAATATCCACAATGTAAAACCAGTGATTGGGTATTGCTAAAAGTGTGGAAAGATTAATCATTAACTCCCAAGTGGGAAGTTCCATTTCAGGTGCTGCTGACCACCGAGACAGCGATCCGAACAAAAGAAAAGGGGTGGGACTCCTGCCTCCTGAGGAAAAGGACCGGTGGAAAAGCCTCAGGAGTGGACTGTGGTACCATCAAGTGATAACTACGAGTCACCCTCAAAGGACTAAGTAAATTCATCAGGAGGGATTGAATGACTCTTAACCAGTGGTTTGACTGGATTTTTGACTGGGTTCAGAGGTAACATTGTGAAAATTTAACTGGCAGACATATGACAGAGTGGCTTTTGGTAACAGATTATGAGCATTTTGGATTCGATCAGGCATTGCTAGAAAATCAACCTAATAGGGTAATACCTTGTCTCGAGTGTATGTATGGATGTCATGAAGCGTGGGTTTTGTGTGAATGTGAAATGTGTCACCGGAGGTAGTATTTCTTGTAGATGGAGAAAATTGTCTTAAAACTGTATAGGGAAGTGGCATGAACTGTAACCTTGATTTACGGGAAAAAGAAGTTAGTCCCCAGAATTTGTGATGTCCCTGAGAGTTGATGGGAGGACACTATCAGAAAGTGCCAAAAAATTTGCTTTGCTTAGAAACAAAGGAAGTGGCTATAAAGTAGCTGCACTTGAATTGGCTAACTCTTAACACACGGATTCATTAAACAGTAGAGGGCAAGACCGGGTTAACCTCTGTGCTCCCCACCAGGAAGACTTTTATCTCAGCTGTGGGCTGCAACCCCATAGGCATGAGAGGTGGGAGTATATGTTATACCGGACCTCTGCTAATCATCCTGGTATGGTTTGCTTTAATAGTGGCAAATTTGTGCAGCAAGTGCTTTACTGTTATGTCCAACATCAGAGTGGCTTTGCTTTCCCAAAGACAGAAGGGTGGATGGAGATATTTTTAGTGGGAAGAAGAGAATCCAAGTAAAAGATGTGACAGAAGTAAAACAGCCAGTACCAAAACCGCCGAAAAGACCTATAACAGAATTTTCGACGTGGTTAGCCAAAGGAGATGGTGGTTTACATAAGCAGATACAACTACATGGGCACTTGAAAGAGGAACATTCACAAGGGCAAAAGATATGTAGTAAAAAGGCAAACAAAGTGAGGGCTACCAACATCAAGGCTGCACAATAAATTGCTGCCCATGCATAAGCACGCTCCATTGTTTTCGCAGTATCGGAGGTACAAGAGTGAGAGCGCGAGTGGCGAACCTGCCTGGTCTGTAGGGATCAGGAGTCAGGGTCCACATATGCAGCAGGAAAATGGATTTCCACGCCCCCAGTCCAAAGCGCATGTGTTGTTGGAGGGTCTCGAAAGTTCGGCTATACCCGGATGGCAAAAACAACTGCCAGGCCCGCCCAGATCTAGGCAGCACAGGCATTCTGGGTGGAAGAGAAACTTCCGCTCATTGCGCACTTGGACCTTCCTCGGTCAAGCCGCTAGCCTGGGGCTGGACTATCCCACTAATCTTACTGATCCCACTGGATTGCAATCTTGGGAAGATGGGAGTAGGGGACGATCCCGTGTGCGCCGCCCTGCTGTTGGGATTTTTCATTATATTGGTGGTGACTGTCGTTGCCATCGCGGTATGCGAGGGAATGTCTCGTGGCTGGTGTCGGAGATCACCTCCTCCCCCCAATCCTCCAAGATCACGAAGACAACTAAGACGCCCTCAAAACTTTGATGAGGTGATGGAAACAGACTTATAGTTCAAAGAAGAAAATGTTATTGATCAGAGGAGTTACCGCGCGGCGCGTGACTGTTGTTCTTGGACTCTTTTCTATCTTTCTATCGCTATCGCCCCGTGAGTAAGGGTAACAAGACATCGAAGGACAACATCTAAAGGACAGTGCTGATATCTTTGTTTCTTACTTTTTCTCTTTCTGATTGTGTCATGTGGGACTTTGCTGGATTGTTATACAGTTAATTATTTCAGGTTCTTATTTGCTAATAAATTGTTGATTATTGTTTACAGGGTGTCTGATAGTACGGTTGACTGTGCAGTTCGGCACACAGCTCGAATTTGCTTAACGCCAACAGGTGAAACAATAGTAGCAAATTGCATGTTGGTCACAACATGTTGGATTAACTGAACAAAGCAAGGAATAAATAACACACGGCAAAAACATTAAGGCGACAACTGCATATAGCAGATAGAATAAGAGCTGTTTAACCTACGGTGCTCTGGGTAACCAAGACCATAAAACACCCTCAATGTTAGACTCAAAATGGTGGGATGATCTATTAGGAGCTTCCTGGTGGAAAAGATTGAATTTTTCTTCCTTTGTGCCGTCGCGGGCTTACTATTTTTACCATGTTCAATACCTTGCTTTATACAGCTAATATCTCATGTTATTGAGGGGATGCCAATAACAGCAATGCTGGTAAACCCTGAGATGGCAGCAGTGGCTGGTGCCCACAAAGTTATGATATTAAGAAAAGAATGAGACTAAGTGTTAGTAAGCTCAAGCAAAATATGGTATTAAAAAAAAAAAAAAAAGGGTGGATTGTGATAAATAATAGAAGAATTTTGCTTTCGCTAAAAGTAATTAAACAATTACTTTTATTGAATTAGGCTGAAGCTATTATTAGTACAATGATACAAATTTTAAGAAAAGTGAAATAATTTACTAGTGGGAAAAGAGAAGGGAGGGGGAATTGATCAGAGGAAACAACAACCCAACAGCCGCCCCTTTTTCCTTTGGAATGCTCACCAGATGGTCCATATCAAAGGATGGTAACTCCTTTGCAATGGAATGGCAAAGAACATGATGGGCCCTCTCTGTTATCTCCTGTTCTTGAGATAAGAGAGGAACTGGAGCCACTGAGCCATAAAGACAAAAGAGCTACAAATTAGCCCAGACTTGAAGGACAAGGTGTACGTGACCACAGGACTGAGTTTGCGCAGAAATAAGGGTCAACGAGCGAACACAGTGAAGAAGACTACGAGCCTTCATCTGAAGACCCCTGCCCACGACCACCAGGGAGCACTGCGCAAGCGCGACGGGAGGAATTTGGGTTGGGGGGATATGTTAATGATTTCTCGGAACTAATTGTAATATTCCCTCCCTATCCTTAGAAGTAGTGATGCATATGTATTAGAGTAGATGAATATGTAACCATTTATACAATAAAAGGGAGCCCCTTTTGGCTCCAGGGCGCGCCATTGCGCCCAGCGCTGTATTCTTTGCTCCACTGACTTTGTCCCCAATAAAACTTTTTTTATATATACGTGGGCTTGTTTCTCACAAATATTTAACCATTTATACAATAAAAGGGAGCCCCTTTGTGCCCAGTGCTGTATTCTTTGCTCCACTGACTTTGTCCCCAATAAAACTTTTTTTATATATACATGGGCTTGTTTCTTACATAAGCAACAGCAGAGATACAGCAAGAAACACACTACTTTCCTCAACTTCCTACTGCCTGCCCAGACAATGAATTCGGCTCTTGTGGAAGAGTATTAGCCCAATAGTAGGGCACTTCAACACAATGAAGAAGGGAAAGGTTAAATAATTAAAATATGTCCTGTGTGAACCAAGTTTTACATTAGTGATCTACAATGAAATAAAATAGTAAAAAGAAAAATAAGTGAGCGTGTATAATAAAAAGAATAATTATTTAATTTGAAGTGCTTTCGCAAGCATAATGTTAGTATTTCTGGTTTAAATCTTAAAGGATCAGCATTTATGAAAGTTAGATGACTCAGTTTCACACATCCAATAGCACTGGTTAAAACCCCCGGCAGTGTTTGTATATATATATACACACACACACAAACTGAATAAAAATCAAAGACACACGAGATGTACAAGCACGCTTCACAGCTTTTATTAGAATTCAAGCAATTTGAATTCTCAGATAAAAATAATTATTTTAAACATCTAACATTGAACAAGCATGTAGATCGGATGTTTCAACTGTATCTAGGTAAAAACTTTTGTATCACATGGGAAAAAAAAGAACTATCAGCAGTACTTACAGTTGGTTGAGTAAACTCTTAATACTTGAAGACATGGCAATATTAGCCTGTGGTTTTGCAAATTCTGCTTCACTAAATTCAATGATATGTTTAGGGCACCATTAATTCTTGCTTTCATGCCAATCTTTTTGTCTGACGTCAAAGAAATACAAGATTATTCACACTAATTTTGAAGTTATCAAAAAAAAAGTTAAACAAACTGTGAATTTCTTCTGCTGTCAACTCTGCTTACCTATTTTTCATCATTCTTTCCTCCCCTCTATTTTACTCATCTTTGTGTTCTCCTTTACCAATTCTGAATACATGCATGCTTACACAATAATAGAAAGAAAATTTTTTTGAAGTTACAATCATAAAACTACAAAGTATTAAGCCATATTATGTACGTATATCATTATCACCTTTTGGACCAATTTTTGCAAGAAGAGTATGAAGAAGCACCATTAATTCTCCAGTTGGTGGAGAGTCTTTGCTGGCAGTCAAAAGCAACTGCAATAAGATCTGTGTCCCTCCTTTAGTGACTAAGACGCCTGCCCTCTGACCGCCACCTAGGAATTAAAACTCAACTGATATCTCCGAAGCCAAAGAACAATTAAGAACCTAAGCTACAGTTATCATAAGGGAAGTCTTTAGAACAGAAATATTTTCCTCATATGTGACTGCACTAGGCAAGAACCTGCTGGCCTTATACTTACAGCAACGTAAATTATTTGTGTATGATTATTTGAAAGGTGGCTTCAGTCTTTGTGTTCTTTTTATTCTGCATACAAATCACTGTTAGCAAACATCTGAAACCACCCAAAAAAATTACTAAACAAACACAAACCTGCCTCCCAAAGGAAAAACACAACTTCTGCAGAAGAATACAGGAATATAATCACAAATTGAAAACTGCTCCTTAATGAAAACTTACCAACTGACACAATCTCAATGAGGATATTCAATATATTTCGAATACTTTGAGGATCTTTTGTATTCTGCAATGTAAAATAGAGGGATTTCTTTACTTAATGTAGAAGTCTAATACAGTGGTTTAAATACTTACAAGCTCAGAGAAACTGCCACCACTAAATCAAACAGAATTTAAGATGTAACCACCCAGCTAATCATCTACTATGCAGCCTGAATTAACCAAAAAAAAACAATTAAAATTTAGTTTGCAATATGGCATATTAATTAGAACTGATAATTGACAACTAATTTCTTACAATATTTAAAAATAAGGGAGAGAAATTCTTAACTAGACCATATCTAATCATCACAGTCCTACACAAGTGTTGGAGACTAGATAGGATAACAACGTATTTGTAGTAATACAAAGCCCGGTGATAAAATGAAAACTTGCTACGTACCCATAACCACACAGATCGGAAGGTTTTACCTCTAGGGCTGACAGGATAACTTCTATTCCAGTGGAGCCCTTAGAAGTCATCTCCTCCTTGTTTTTTTCTGCCAGTCAGAAAAAGACCATTTTTCTTTTAATATACTAGCTTGTGGGCAAAATGCCCTGTGATCACATACAGACTGATCAGAAAATCTACACTACACTGTAAATAATAAAATCTATTAAAAACTGCATATATGTAGATAATACTAACTAAAATAAATCAAAGACTTAAGTGACTTTAAATCTCATTTTTGCTTTCACTTGTTCAACAATTTGTCCTAGAAAAAAACACTGTAAAGGTAAAATCTGTAAGAAAGCTCTCTTCCAGATACTTCTACTTCTCGTATATATATACACATGTATACTGTGAATTATCACTTAAATTATAGCTGTTTGACAATACAAAATGCACTCAGTGTAACCAATACTATATCAGACAACATTAAACATGGCCTTAAACAGGTGCTTTAAACAATCAGTGACAAAAGCAGATGGCTAATCAAGTCCACCGAACAGAAACAACAATTAAAGTCCACCTCAGAAGAAATACGAGAAGGAAGGCTCATCAAAACAAAAACTACTAAAACCATAAAACTGAGATATTTACCTTGACTCTGAACCAGATGAAGGATCTCTGAGGTAACATATCTGGCATTGTCTGCTTCTCCTAATACAGAATCCAAATTGATCTTCTCCAGCTGTGACAGCAGAGACATAGTCTGAGAACTGGTGGAAACACTACAAGAAAGAATTTTTACATTCATTTTTCCACCTCGATCAGAGGAAAAAAACACTAACGACAGAAATCCCACGTTAGAATAAGGGGAGTTGCTAATTCACCTTCATACTTTATCTCAACTGGAGAACAGTCTTAATTCTCTTTAATTCTGGCAAATTTACAGATTTTACAAAGCCTGCATTGCAGCAGACTAACTATGTATAACAGCATCTCCAAGACCAACTGTGAACAGAGAAATTAGTTGCAGCAAAAAAATCCAGATGTAGGTACAAATGTTGTTTATGTCAGTTAGAGTAATTTATATTTAATACAGTTTATCTTAAGGGCCAGGATACTGGATCAAACCTGCCATTCAAGAAAAAACTGCCTACAAACAGTCCCAAAGACTGTTTGCCTTCCGGGCTTGTGTTTCTAAAGTGAAAGAATATGTAATTCGTGAGGTGAGCAAAGCAGCACCCACCATTTGAAGAAAAAGAACACCATTCTGAAGAAAAAATTTTCGAAGGTGTTCAAAGCTATCATCAGAGTTTGAATTCATTTTTAACATCAAGGTATTTTAGCCTGACATCATAAAATTGCCTTGAAAATGTATTTAATATAAGAAACAAATTTAAACCAGGGACTCGTATAGGTAGGTAGATTACAGAGGCTAAAAAAAAAAAGTAAATATTTATAGTATTCAAAATAGAATCAGTCTAGAAATTGTTTTATTGCTCTCCAGTTTTAGAACACAACAATTATTCAGAATAGTGCTGAGATTCACATTTCCACATGAAAGTAATTTTTAGACAATTTTTTAACATTTGAAGTAGAGTCATATAATTAATTACAGGAAATTATAACTTCCAAGGATTAACTACCTTGACTTTGCACTTTTGTAACATTAGCGTCCCACAATAACCGACAATAATTCATTTCATACACATACTGTTCTGACTATCTGCAATAAAACTAAAGTCTGTAACATTAGCTTTATAAATATGTCAGGTTTGTTTATAACAATGAGGAATTATTACGCCTTGATTTGTATTTTACATATATGAAAAGGTTTCACACTTACAGTTATCTCTACTAAAATAATTAGCTTAGATTTGGGCAAGTATGTTAAAATCAAGGAAAAAAAAGGTAGCTGACAGCAAAGTCTGTACTGCCATGAAAGCACATTGATACAACAGCTGCTGGGGAAACTGCTTCTACCACTTCCACTTTTCCACACTGACATCTAAATGAGAAGCGTGACCAAAAATCAATTTCAGATTACAGATGATACTTACAAGCTGTTAACATCAGTAATAAGAAATGGTTATACTATTTATAGAGCATAAGTCAAAATAATTTTATACGGTGAAGTAAGTATATCACCTTCTCGGTTATTTGCTAGACTTTGATTTTAAAGGATCTTTGGATCTAAAATAAATCTGTCTTGGTTGATAAAATATTACTTGTTCAAGTAAAGCATAATCCCCCCAATCCTTTCTCATCATCCAAAACCAGGTTGGACAGTATAAAGCCGTTATTATTTGCATAAGATTCGTTTTGTTTAATTCTATGCTCCCATTCATCCTCTGAACTTGAAACACTCCAAAATAAACCCAAGATTTTCATGAAATCTATAACCTCTGTTCGTCTGGTATACAAGCTGACAAGCTTCCAAAAGATGTTGCCTTCAGCAGCTCACAACCAAAACAAGTAAAGAGCCCAGCCAACCCACATCTAAACCAACGTGTAAGAGAACTGCTGCTTCAGTGTGCGGGTGTGTACATATCTAAAAGTTCCACTGTGGTATTTCATTGGTCTCACACAGAAATAAATGTAGTTTGAAAGCTGGAAACAACCCAAGAAAGCAAAGATAGTCCTTAGGAACAAACAAACAAACAAGACAATACAAGTTTTCATAAAGACAAACTCATTCACAGGCACTAAAATTTCAGAGCAAACATGATTTTTGACTGCTGTGACCTGCAAAATCCAAGCAATGCCAGCACATGGAAGTAATATAACATGTACAACGTTAGCATCTAACATAGTTTCTCCATACTTACTAAAAGCTTTAAAAGGTTCAGGAATGGTAGGTCATTCTCACTACTGGGTGATATAACAATTTAAATCCTAAGATTTAGAAGTATCATCTCCTCCTGGGGCCAGAGTTTCTATCAAGAGCGATGAGTGCTCATTGCAGTGGTTAAAGAGGTATCTTTAGAATGGTTTTAGGTTATTCTTGCAAGAAGTCTTCCAACAGATATACAGTCAAATAAACTTCATGTCTTCAGCATACCAAATCAACTGTCATTGAAAATAACATCAGCTCAGAGTCTATGCTGAAATATAAACTAAAGCCCTGATTTCCTCTTAGCTATGACTGAGTTTTCTTCCTAAAACAAGAATTATTTATTAATATTCTGCACTAATATACATAGTGGTTATAATACTGTGAGAGCTTTCAATGTCTGCCTAGTAAATCAGAAAGGCTGCAGGACAAGAAATAGGGCAGCCAGCCTGACTGACTGATCCGTATGTAATATTGCTGTGACAACCCATTTGACCTAAGAACAAAATAGAACCCAATTTGCAGCGTGACTCCTTCTGATATTTGGAATGCAAATACATACGTTTTAACCAACAAACCATTCAGGATCCAAATCTGGGAGACAGCTCTCCAAAACAGAGGGGCAACATGGAATTCAGTATTTTTAATCCAACAGCTAGGTAAACCAAGGACGTAGTCAGAATGGCACAATAAAAACTGCGTCCTGTCTGAGCTAGATTTCCTCTTAAGCTGCTGACGCTGCAGAAGCTCACAGGTGGCCCTGAACACTGTGGCCAGCCTTTCATACAAGGCTTGTCTTCCCACTAAGGAGACATTTTTGACCCCACTCATTCTAAAACTTCCTCACAAGAGCACTCTGTAGTCATTGCAGGCAACAGTTTCTGCTCTCTTTAGCTATAAAAATCAAAATGGCTGTAAAGCACTAGAAGAAACTTCCTAAGGCCATATAAGCTATTCTCTTCGGAGTTGGATCAACACCACAGCTGCTCTTCATGACAGACATATGCCCAAACAGTCCTTAACAGCCTGCAAAAATGGTGAGTCAGTAACCAAAGGCACCTTCATTCTCACACCTTGTGTCCCTTCATTCCAAAGATTTTCTCCCTGCAGTTCAATCTCACTATTTGTGGCTCTCCTCACTACGAACGTGACTGTCCTTTATCCCTTGCAGTTGTATACCTCTCTAAGCACAGTACCTTGCACATCTTCCCAGCAAATATTCTTTTCTGCATTTCACAGGAGTATTTGGAAATCATTTGGTCCTCTAATATTTTTGCAGATCTTTCCAGTTTCAAGCTGTCTGCAGCTTTAACAAGAACTCTTTCTTCTCTTTCAGATCATTAGTAGAAGCGCAAAGTATTTTCAGTCGTTCCCAAAAAGAGGAGGAAAGAGCACATCCAGAAACAAACCGTGCGCTGTTTCCTTCTGACAGTGATCAACCACCCCTGCTCTGGTACCCAGTCAGTGCCCTACTCCAGAGCACTTGGAGAGAGCAATTGCCTCAGCTCCCTGATGGCAATCACATGCAGTGGTTATTTTAGTAAAGCTTTAAACACGTTTGTGGTATTCTAATGCCACTTTTCTGACCGTGAGACCTGTTACTCTCTCACATAGGAAAAATCAGATGGATTTTCAAGAACAACTCAAACCACCTTTGGCTGTTCGCAGCCTCACGCATTCGGTTAGTTCTTCCAGGATCCTTCTGTGCAAAGAAAAGAAGACAGCTGATCTACAGCTACTTAGTTTCTGCTCCCCGACTCCCACAGACACAACCACTATGTTTGTCATCTCTGTCTTTCACTACTTAACCCAGATCTCATGTGTTCTGAAGACAACCGATAATTATTATACTGGGGTGGATTTAGACTTTTTTTAGCATCCTCAGGTGAAGTTTACCAGGCTTGTTTGATCCCCTACACTGCATGTCTCCATGGGCAGGAAACCCTTTCTCCAGCCCATGACCAAAGGCCACAGCTCCAAATGCCCCTCACAACAGCATCTTACTTGCAAAAAAGAAGCAGGAACAAGCCTGACACCACCTCAGCTGCTGCCAAAGCGCACAGTGTGGCTCTAGCTACCCAGACAGCTTTGTGGATTTCCTCTTTCTCTGGTTAGGAAAGCTTTGAGTAGATATAGAGGAAGCACCTGCCCAGACAGTGAGGAACAGAGGGCTTCAGGGGTTCATGTTTAAAAGAGAACTCCCTCAACAAGAAAACATCTTCTCAGAGAAAGTTCCCTTGCTGCAGGGACGTTTCTCCCAGTCTCACCAA